GGGGGGGGGGCATTCTTTATGTATATGGCAATAAATGGTGTTTTCATTCCTGATGAAGGATGCTAAGCTGCCTTGAAAGTCTTATTCGGAGAGATGTGAGTAACCTTACACTAATTCCCTGCGCTCCCTACAGGACAGACTCCGGCGGAAAGGCAGAGCGGCACAGCGCCATATCCTGCGTCAGATCTCCCTTACAGTCTGCCCTACCAGGTAATGTAGAATGTGCCTGCTGGGGAGCTCAACCAGTGCTTTCTGCCTTTTGGTCCCCAGCCAACTTCCTGTAGCCTTTTAGAATTAAAAGCTTTGGAATCCAAGAAAGGTCAATGAATAATGGAAGTGTGTGTTTCAAGAGGTGCCTTGTCGCCGCCAGGCTTTTCCAAGCATGTCAAATTCAAGGAATTCTTAGGTCTGCTCCTGCACTATAGAGAAATACACACGGTGGAAGATAAATAGGCAAACAGATAAATATGCATTTGAAATACACATATGTTAATTGTTTTACTTGCCAAACAATTCGTACTTCTGCACAGCAGGGCTTGCGATTTTCTTTTTTTTTTATAAATTCTGTTTATTCTGTTACATACAAGGGAGGACAAATACGGGATCAACTTCCCATCATTTAAATGGTGGACGCAGCCACTATAGGTATACAATAGTCACAACACACAAAAAAAAAAAATATATTTAAACAATAAGAAGTAAGTACAACAATAAAATAAAGATGTCCAAAAGTAGGGGATATAAGACACAAGACATATAGATAGAGAGCAACCCAGAATCATGTAGTAACCTGGAGGCCCCCACCGTGGTTACAGCCTGTTGGTCGACTAGCTATTCAGGTTCGGGAAGAGAGGGGTCAGCCCAGCTTGCGATTTCTACACCTTGGCCACACTGCTTAGCCAGGAAAGGGTGGAAACGAGGCACTGAACATCTTCGGTCAATAGAATTAAGTCATTATTTAAAACTAATGGCTTTGGTTCGGTAGCTCTCCACAAAACCGGGGCCCCTCAGAGTCCCCGCAAACCCGGGGCCCCCCGAGGGGTGGGGGGGGGGGGTCTTCCAGATTGAGAAACAAACGTGTGATAGAAGCAGTAAGAGCGCCAAAACCACATCTTAGGAGTCCAATGTCTTTTATTGATTCCACAAACAAAAGCAAAGCGCAGCCAATAGGTTTTGATGCCTAAATGAAATCTGCCCTCAGCAGAGTGTCCAAATGTTTCATGGACTTTTGGAGGTGAAGCTAAACACCTGAACAGTCGCACCTGGGGCAGGAGAATAGAAGGAATACAGCTAGTGAATGTCTTGTGTCAGTGTCAGCAGCAACATTTGTATTACGGATGCACCGATACCGGTTTTTCAGTATCCAGTACGAGCAGCGATATTTTTTTTCGGTGCTCACCGATACTGAAAGTCACATTAAAGGAGAACTATGGGGTCAGGGCTTTTCCCCATAGTTCTACTTAGGGTAATGGGAGGACACAAACTAGCGTCCTCCCGTGACCCAAAGCTCAGTATATATATACTGAGACGCCGCAGTCTGGACAGATCCCATCATTGCTGTCGAGATCCACCCAGCTGCGGGATTGACAGCTGGCTCTGCCTATCTAGAGGCAGACTCAGCTGTGCCCGCCCCCTCCCCCGTCCGTTCCGCCAGTCAGCGATGGAGGATCGGAGCGGGGAGGGAATCCCTGCAGAGAGCCGTGAGTGACAGTCACGGCTCTCTGCAGGGATAGATCGAGAAGTGAGTGAGCGATATGTGTTCGCTCACTTCCCGATCTACTGAGCCGACCTGTGACAGTCTCATTGTCGAAGGTTGGCTCAGATTATAAGGCTGAGTGAAAATCACTCGCCTCATAATTCTCCTTTTAAAGAAGCTGGACGGCGTGTAATAACTCACCGCCCGGTTTCCTGATTAGTCGGGATAGGACATAGTATAACAAACAGCTTTTTCTTCAGAAGAAGTTAGAAATCTGCTACGAACTTTGTTAAAATCCTTTCCATTTACTTCGAACATCCAGGAGGGATTCATTTTTTTTTTTTCACTCAAGCAAAAAGAAGTCATACTTTAAGGCAGATGATACTCAGAATAACGCACTTGAACAACTGCAGGAATAATTTCTCCACATAACATGACCTAATAATAATAACACTAGAACAGAGGTTCTAACCCTTCCTCAATATATCCCGAGCTAATTGTAAGAATTTGGGCTGGAGGATGGAGGATCGGAGGGGGGAATCCAGCCCCTCCCCTGTCACGGCAGAGAGCTGGGACAGAATCGAGCGGTGAGCGAACGCCGGTATGTGTTCGCTCACTTCCCGATCTACTGAGCCGACCTGTGACAGTCTCATTGTCACAGGTCGGCTAGAACTATGAGGTGAGTGAAAAGCACTCCCCTCATACCGGTAGTTCTCCTTTAAGGGCTTGGATCCAAGGGTGTCTGTTCAAGAAGGAAGTCGAATACATTGATTAGGAAGCGGAACAGAGGCCTCATTCACATTGTGTTTCTCTGTTTCTCGCACACTGAAGCAATGTGATATTTGTATGAATTTTCAGATGCCACCGGCAATCCCCCCGCAGCTGGACAGAGCGGATACCGCAGCCACCAAGGTGACCAATCAACTCTCAGAGGGGAACCCAGCGATGGCAGACCTGCTCAACGACATCCCTTTCATCCTCGCCCCTCATGTTCTAGAAGTGCAGAATATCTGTCAGGAACTTCCAGAGCCTGTGCCCATCTACAACCTGGATGAGAGCTTTGCCCGTTTCCACTACGATTTCACCCTGGAGAACTCTGTGCTGTGTGGACTATGAGCGGTTTTTCTGTGTCCCCGTCTTACATTTCTCACTAGGCACTTTATTCATAAATATGTACAGATACAGCTATTAACGTCCCTGCAATGTACATAGAACCTCCCACCAAAGCGCTATCGATATCATTACATCATAGTGTATGTCACTCTTTAGGATGTATCCTATATGTTCACTAGAGACCGGTGACATCAATAGGAATGCAGCTTATACATTAACTAGGGACCGGTGACCACACTAAAAATTTAGCTGATCCATTAACTAGAATCTAGTGACATCACTGAGAATGCAGCCAATCCATTCACTACAGACCGGTGACATCACTGAGAATGCAGCCTATCCATTCACTACAGACCGGTGACATCACTGAGAATGCAGCCTATCCATTCACTAGAGTCTGGTGACAGCACTGAGAATGCAGCCTATCCATTCACTAGAGACCAATGACAGCACTGAGAATGCAGCCTATCCATTCACTAGAGACCAATGACAGCACTGAGAATGCAGCCTATCCATTCACTAGAGACCAATGACAGCACTGATAATGCAGCCTATCCAATCACTAGAGACCAATGACAGCACTGAGAATGCAGCCTATCCATTCACTAGAGACCAATGACAGCACTGAGAATGCAGCCTATCCATTCACTAGAGACCAATGACAGCACTGATAATGCAGCCTATCCAATCACTAGAGACCAATGACAGCACTGAGAATGCAGCCTATCCATTCATTAGAGTCATCAAATTTCAGACAGGATGCGAGTATTTTCCCTAGGACACATCTGCTTTCCTATAGCATGCTGGGGAAGAGGAGTAGCCACAGAAGACCTGAGAAGATTCCCATTTTCACACACGTGGTTGGTAGGTAGACTCGGGTTATAAAGTCGCTCTTAATACAACTTGAGCTTAAAGGAGAACTATTTGGAAAAATACTAGATTGTGATAATTGCTGTTAATGTAATAATTGCATTTGTTGTATTTAGGTTCTTTTTTTTTGTTCACATGCTTTCATTTAAATGTTTTCTTCACATTTTCATGCAGACCAAGCTGACTAGCAGCAGTTTCTGTAACAGAGTCTGGGATAACGGGTGGTGACAACATTTTAATACACTTACCGTATTTGCCGGCGTATAAGATGACCCTCCACTTTTAGTGTTAAAATATAGGTTTTGGGCTATACTCGTCGTATAAGACGAGTATACCCCCAAAATAATGTTTAAATGCACCCACTAACCTCCATGGCGGTATTCCCGAGTGTGGCTCGGGGTTAATTTTCAGTACCCTAAGCGTTAACCCCGAGCCACACTTGGGATTACAGTCTCTTACCTTGTCCACGATCCCCGCTGTGTCCTCCATCTTCCGTCCTTCAGCTACATACAGTATACCGCGCTGAGCCAATCACGGCAGGCTTTGTATTCATTAATACAGGCTTTGTATAAATGAATACAAAGCCTGCCGTGATTGGCTCAGCGCGGTATACTGTATGTAGCCGAAGCTACATACAGTATACCCGGCGTATAAGAAGACCCCCGATTTTCGGCAAGTGTTTTTGGGTCTAAAAACCCATCTTATACACCGGCATATACGGTATTTTTTTATTCTTTTTTAAAAAATTGGTGTGATGAAAAGGTGACCGATATAAGTTACCCCCAGCGGTGTCATGGTTTGTACTAATGCATCAGTGTGAAGCTGCCCATACACCTTACAACCTAGTTAAAAGCTCGTACGATCTGCCCATCTTGGACAGGCAGATCGTACTTGCGATCATCGAAGGCCCTCCCCGCTGAGGGGCAGGCTTCCGATGATTGAGGTGCTGAGCGGGCAGTGTGCGCTTGCGCACACCAGCCTGTGCAGCATTCGTCTCCCGAGCACGCCCCTAACCCGCCGAAAATCGTACAATTTTCGGCAGGTTTTCAAGCGTGCTCGGAAGACGAATGTCGTGCGACTATACAGTAGAAGAGGTCGCACGCTGCACATACACCTGCCGATTATCGTACGATCGCGGGATCACCCACAACTATCGTACAATAATCGGCAGGTGTATGGGCACCTTAACTTTCATTGGTCAGCTTGGCCTGCAGGTGGGAACAAAATATATAAATTGCCAGAAACTACCAACAGCTGGTGCACAGAGTCCCAGTAGAGGGAACACTGGACAAAGCTGGTTTGTGGAGTGTGGACAGATATAGCACCACACATAACCGCAAATGTACCCGGCTTTCCCACAGTGCGCACATTGACCCGCTAATATAAAGCCATGTGAAATAAAAGGACTTTAAGGGCAAGTGAAGGAATCCATAAACATCTCCCTAACCCCCTCAATAAACTTAGATGTACCAATGCCCCCCCCCTTCCCACCACAGGTCCAAACTTAGCTCCTCCAATATTGTGGGCCTGCTGCATTGTTTGCAGCCTGGCCGGGCTGACTTTGCCTTCACGCTAACATTCAATAGACCTAAAGAGGAACTTTACCCTTATCTTTAACATGACAACAAAGACCGCTTTAGAAATGTTTAGTAATGACAATCTACAAACAGATACTTCTAGATAATTGCTGGTGTTCTATCAAAGATTGTGACTGGGTTGGAATGTGTGACCGGTCACGTGGTCACACATTTGAACGTACTCACGCCCACTTTTTCGGCGGTGGAATATGTGACCGAGAAAAGGTGAAGAATTCCAACGCTCTCTCAGCTGTTCCAGGGCAGATCGGCATCGCAGATGGTATGTGCAGGAGAACCAATCTGCACTGGAACAGCTGATCGGTCCTGAAATGTCACTTTCGCACTCACAAAGAAGTGTTATTTCAGGACCGATCAGCTGTTTCAGGGCAGATCGGTTCTCCTGCACATACCATCTGCGATGCCGATCTGCCCTGGAACAGCTGAGAGAGCGTTGGAATTCTTCACCTTTTCTCGGTCACATATTCCACCGCCGAAAAAGTGGGCGGGATCAGGTTACAATGTGTGACCAATCACACATTTCACCGGCGAAAAACTGGGCGGGATTATGTTAAAATGTGTAACCACGTGACGGGTCCACACATTCTAACGTAGTCACAAACTTTGATAGAACACAGGCTTTGTATTCTTTGCATACCTTATTTTTCTTTTCCTCCCCAGTCTTCTCACAGTGGCCATTTTACTAAGGGCAGATGAATCCATCTCCCTTTACTTCCTGGAAAACGCTTTTCCCTGAGCTCTCATGAGATTTCCCAGCAATGCTCTTCTGATGTAGCCTTCCCAGGATGCAACGCTTGGGCAGAGATTACATCATTTGTGCCAAAGTGGACCAGGAAGTAGAAAATAAAGAAATTGTAAGTAAAATAAAAATATGTTTGTTTAACTAATGAATGTCAGATGATTTCATATCACCAGGCAGAGCTGCATGCTGATTGGATTTTTAGTGAAAGGGGGTGAAGGTCTGCTTTAAATAGGACACTGCTCTTGCAGTATGGGTACGTCCCATGCAAGTCTGGGGGTGTTAGTGTGCACGTGCAGGAGGGAGATTTGTGAAGAAAACCATATATTGTTACATGTCAGGAATTGTTACTGAAAAGTCCACTTTAAGAAATGACTTGGAGTTCCACTGTAGTCATTGTTTTGTACTTCTGATAGCCATAGAGATCTAGTTTTATAATAATGAATGTGCAGAGGAAGCTGCAACTGATGAAAGCAATATTTGTAGACCACTTTCATGGTTATGTAAAGACTCCGTACTGCCTTTGTATGCGCCTGTCACAGGTCTATGTCATGTTGTAGCCTTCTGCTGAACCTCAAATGTAACCATGTTCATTATGTATTTATTGTTCACACTTGTATATTACAGTTTCCTGCAAATAAAGGAATTAAATCATCAGCCGGAAAGTATGACATTTCATATAACTAGCTCCAATTATGCAAATGCAATCACCACCTGGTTGTGACTAACAGATTATGTGGATTGGAGCGACATTCACCATATTTATTCCCAGATAATTTTTGTATACAAATCATTCTGAATTGAGAAAGCTGGTCGGATGACCTGTGAAACGTCTTCAAGAAAAATACAGCAAGTCCAGTTGCCTTGACTTATTGTTTACAGATTTTCATATATTACAGTTCCTGCTTTTATAATACAGGAGGTAGAAGGCAAAGTGACGGCATTGTAGTGAAATGCAGACCTAAACCTCAAAACAAAAATGTAATATATTGCAGCTTGCCAGTCTTTAGATGAGGTGGCTGCATTCGTTTTCAGTAGGGATGCACTGATACCGATACCAGTATCGGTATTGTTGCTGATACTGAGTATTTTGGCGAGTACTCATACTTTCCCAAATGCTCCGATACTTATCCTGATACCGGAACTTTCGGTCAGAGGGAGATTTCCTCTGACCGGCAGTGCTGCGAGGGAACATGGAGCCAGGCTTCCTGGCCAATCAGGAAGCCATGAGGCGGGTCATCACTCGCGGCCCCCCGCCCTCCTGATTGGCCAGGAAGCCGGCTCCATTTTGGCTCAATCAGCATGGAGCCGGACCAAGCTGCATGGAGCCGGCTTCCCAGCCAATCAGGCAGCAGGTAATGACCTGCCTCTTGGCTTCCTGATTGGCTGGGAAGCCAGCTATCCGGCCAAACTGCATGGAGCCGGCTTCCCAGGCAATCAAGAAGCCAGGCGCAGGTAATGACACACTGCCTGGTTTCCTGACTGCCCGGGAAGCCGGCGCCATGCCACCAGAAGTACCGGTATCGGCTAATACCAAAAGATAAATATCAGTAGTTGTACTCCACACCGAAAAAAACAGTACCCCTGACCCTGGCATATGTGCATTACACACCCCTGACCCTGGCATATGTGCATTACACACCCCTGACCCTGGCATATGTGCACTACACACCCCTGACACCTGCACTTTGTGAATTACACACTCCCAACCCGGCACTCTGTGCAATACACACCCTTGATCTCTGCACTCTGTGCATTACACACCCCTGGCCCGGCATTCTCTTTATCACACACCCCCCTGCACTCTATGCATTACGCACTGCTGCACTACTGTATATACACTATGTTGTACATTACAAACTCTTGACCGATTACACTCCTTCTGCTATATTGTACATTA